CTGGGAGTTGAAGTCCTCCAGGCTTAAAGTTGCCAAGGTTGGAGACCCCTGGACTAGAAGACCTCCAAGGTCTTCTGTTATTCTGTTAATTGGTGGAATGGCTTGCCTCCAGATGTTATGGGAGGGAGGGAGGGAGGGTGGGAGGAAGGAAGGAAGGAAGGAAGGAAGGGGAGGGAGGGAGGGAGAGACACGTTGCTCATCAGAAAATCCCAAAAGGGGATCCCATGACATCGGGACATTGAGACCGTCATAAATATTCACCTGCAAGTACCCAAATTTTGGTCGCGTGATGGTGTGGATGGTACAATGGTCCTAAGTCTGAAAAATGGGCATTGTCAGTGCCGTTGCAACATTCAACGGTCACTAGATGAGGACTATTTTCTATTTCCTTCCTCTTAATGGCCGAATGTGGCATCTCCTAGTAGAGGCTCTCAGGGAATTTCCCTTCCGTTGCTTTGCTGATGTTCGGTTTCTCGACGCTTCTTCCTCAGCTGCTGTACCACCCGGAGGTTGGGCACCATTTTACAATGCGGCACATTCTGGATGCTCTCCACAAATGGATGAGCCAATCTTATATCCTCCTCCAAATATTTAGCATCCGAGGCCTGGGGTACCTTCTCCAGCACCCCTTGGAGGTAAGAGATGGGGTGCAGGAAGTGACTGACGGTCAAGGGAGAAGCTTCCTCTCTGGGAAGTCCACAAGGCTGGGCGGGATAGAAGAAGGAGAAGAGGACAAGCGCCAGAACGAGGGTGGGCTCAGCTAGACTGGTGCCTCTTCTTCAAAGATGGGTGCACCCCTGGAAGATCGGAAGGATCCACTTGAGGACGGATCCTCTTGGAGAACATCAGAAAGCAGAATGGGAAACAAGGGATGGGGAACTCATCAAGGACAGAACCGACCTAGATCTAAGGAGAAATTCCCTGACGCCGGGAACGGTTAATCATTGGAACGACTTCCTCCAACACTGGAAGTGTTGAGTTCGGAAGGTCGCGCTCATAGAGACGAGAGACTCAGAATAAGTGAATTTAGCCTTTATTTACAGGCTAGATCTGAGTAAGAAAACAGGGCTCGCGGCAGCTCTTTCTATAGAGCTGGCCGCGGCTAGGCGGCCAATGACATCGCTTTGAGTTTCCCGTGATTGGTTTCATCCAATCGCGGTAGACTCTTAGCGAGCCGATCACAGCCGTCTTGGCTGTCCAATCAGGTAGTTCTCTTTGTTGACCAATAGCAGTGCAGGGTTTCAAGCCTGCTAATACGGAAGAGGAAGGTTTTAGGAAGAGTCTGGATAGCCATTTCTCTGGGATGGCATAACGTCTCCTGCTTGAGCAGGGGAGTGGACTAGAAGACCTCCGAGGTCCCTTCCGATTCTGCTATTCCGTTAGTCAGTGGAATCATTTGCCTCCAGACGGTGTGGGTGATCCAACATGGGAGATTGTCGAGAGGAGACTAGAGATCCGTTTATCCAGAAGAGTATCGGGTGGTGATGGCGAACCTTTTGGGCACCCAAACCGGAAGACATGTGCAGGCGCATGCCTGAGTGAGTGCTGGAGTGCCGGAAAACCAAAGACCATCTGGCCAGTGCGTGAATCCCTGTTTTGGGGGTGTTTTATGGGCCATTTTCAGGGCTTTTCTGGGATGTTTCCCCCTAAAAATAGCCTGAAATTGGCCTGAAAATGCTCCAGAAAGTGCCCCCCCCACAAAGGCCCTGAAAAATATCCTGAAAATGGCTGGAAAAATAGCCTGGAAACAGCCTGGAAAACAGCCCCCAAAAGGGCCTGAAAACAGCCTGAATAATGGCCTGAAAATGGTTTGAAAAAGGCCTGAAAAGGGTTGAGAAGAAAGCCCGAAAATGGCCTGAAAACAGCCCTCCAAAAGGCCCGAAAATGGCCTGAAAACAGCCCAAACAAAGGCCTGAAAAAGGCCCAGAAAAAGGCCCCCAAATGGCATGGAAAACGGCCTGGAAAACAGCCTGGAAACAGACCAGAAAAAGGTTCAAAAATGGCCTGAAAACATCCCCCCAAAATGCCTGAAAATACCGGCCTATTTTTTGGCTGCTTTTGGGGACATTTCCCAGCCCTCTGGCGCCCACGAAGACCAGCTGGCCGGTGTGCCAGAAACCAGGAGAGCCGCTGTCAAGGGAGCGCATGCCCACTGAGAGGGCTCTGCGTGGGCACATCTGGCACGCGTGGCGTAGGTTCGCTCCATCAGGGGTGCAGAGTCTCCTTCTTGAGCGGCAGGTTGGACTGGAAGATCTCCCGGTTCCCTTTCAACCCTGGGATTCCATGTTCTGTGGGCTTCTCTGTCATGGCCTCTGCTAGACGTGGAGAACTGCGGGGACCCTGTTTAACGGCTCCTTTCTCTCCCTGCTTCATCCAGACCAAGGTTTTGAGGCCCATGTTGGGACCTGTCGTGAACTGCGCCATGCAACACCACAGCAGCCTAGCCAAGGAAGCGCTGAGGACACTAAAGATCCTGTTTGGGCAGCTGGATGTCAGGATATACGGGTACAAGGCCGCTGTTCTCATCCCCCACCTCCTGCAGTATTTTTGGGATGTAAGTCAGCTAAAACAACGGCTCTTTCGCTCTTTTGCTCCCATCCAGACGGCCTGGGGACCACCTGCAGAAGTCTAGCTGGATCAAAAATGCTTAGAAGTAGTTCAGCCACAGCGGTGTGGTGGGGATATAAAACAGTGTGGAGGCTTTTCAGATGATCCTTGAGCCCCGCTAGAGGTTCCAGATGAGCGAAGGAGAATGAAGGTTGCCTCTCTCTTCAGCTCCCCCAAAGCATGTGCCAGGCTAGAAAATCTAGAAGACCAGGCACCCTATCTAGAAAGAAAAATCCCCAATCACTCTCCGTATCGAGACGAAATCTAGAGGGGTGTTGCTTGGTCTCAGACCCTTTAAGATGTGTGGCCTTCAACTCTGCTGGCTGGAGAACTCCAGGAGTTGAAGTCCCCACATCTTGAAGCTGCTCAGATCGGGGGGAAAAACTGTTCTAGATCAGTATCTCTCAACCTTGGCAACTACTGTTCTAGATCAGTATCTCTCAGCCTTGGCAACTACTGTTCTAGATCAGTATCTCTCAACCTTGGCAACTACTGTTCTAGATCAGTATCTCTCAGCCTTGGCAACTACGGTTCTAGATCAGTATCTCTCAACCTTGGCAACTACTGTTCTAGATCAGTATCTCTCAACCTTGGCAACTACGGTTCTAGATCAGTATCTCTCAACCTTGGCAACTTCTGAGGACTTCAACTCCTAGGACTCTCCAGCAGCATATTGGAGCTGAAGTCCCCACATCTTAAAGCCGCTCAGACTGAAAAACAGCAGCCTACATCATACCGTAGAGGTTGATCTGCAAACATTTTACAGCAATTGCCAACGATTAGCGTGGAATTGTCAAGATGAACAATGGCCAGGCTAATCTCACTTGGTTTCTTGAATGAGTAAACAGATATGTCTGAAGAGCATGTCAGTCATCCGGATCATGGCTCTCCCAAAGTTGCTTTTTCCAAAGAAAAAATAATTCATTTTTCCTTGGAGACATTTCACTTCTCCTCCAAGAAGCTACTTCAGTTCAAAGAGGAACAACAAAATCTTTTGTCTTTGGAAAAAGCACCTCTGGGATAATTAAACAGATACATAGTTGGGTTGATAGTCATGTCCAGAGTAGTCATTAACAGTACATCTAGTGGACAGCCATCCTCGCTGAACGGTGGAGGATGGAAGGAAGAATATTCTGGTCATTGGCAGTTTATCTTTAGCCGTAACGAGCAGGTGACTGCAAGGAATATAAATCCTTCCACCCTCCACCATTCAGGCAGAACTGAAGAAGCTTCTTGAGTGAGAAGTGAGAAGTGAACACCTTCATGGAAAAACATATGCTCTGAACTCGTGTGTTCTTCACCTGAAAACGTAAAGGTCCTTCTAAGCCTGGCCACCACTAACTGGACCAAGAACCCGACAGTTGAGCACTGAGCTACGTTGATTTTCATCTATTGGAGCAGGGTGGGCAACTATGGCCCTTTTACGAATTATGGACTTCAACGCCCAGAATTCCTGAGCAAGCCATGCTAGCTCAGGAATTTGGGGAGTTGAAGTCCACAAGTCATAAAGGGGCCATAGTTGCCCACCTCTGTAATTTTGGAGGGACTCACCTGTTTCTCTTCCTTCGTAGGAAGACACCGAACTGCGAAATAATTCCATCTCTATTTTCGGCATTCTCTTGAGAGGGGTGAACCTTATAGAAAACAACAATATCACAGTAAACATCATGCAGAGCCTTGTTCCATTATTGATCCAACTTTCAGATGGTCAGACCAAAGAAGTGAGTCGAAGAGCTGGGTAGAACTGTGGGGGCCTTGGTGCTCTCTGAGCTTGGCTATTTTCTTGCAGACCTTTTATGACCCAACTCGATAACATCATCAGTGCTAGAAGGACGTGGTGTCTCTCTTTAAGCAGAAGTGGTTGGCCATTTCAGTGTTGGTGGGAATGTTGTTTTCTGCCTGCTAGTTATTTCCCTTATTAGGCACTTATGTGTAAACAGGTTCACGTGAGCCTCTTTGGCCCCCTTCTGACAAGCATAGTCCCTGGGGGAAGCCAGATTCCCTTAATGGCTCCGCTACTAGCTTGACCCCTGCGGAGATTCGCTCAACAATTGCGGGAAGAAAGGTCATCAAATGGGGCAATGCTCACTTAACAACTGTCTCGCTTAATAATAGACATTTCGGGCTCCATGGCGATTGTAAGTCGAGAACTACCTGTAGAGAGATTGGGCACCTGGGTAGCTTGTCCATCACCCTGTCGGAGATGTCGAGGGGGGTCTCCTTTCAGGGCGGAGCATCTGTGGTCATCCCTGCCCCCTTGCCCGGCCATCTCTGGGTCCTGGAGTAGCTCCTCTGCTTTCCCATCCCCCGAGCAAGGAGAAGGCTGGGTTTTCTCTGCGGAACATGGGAAAAATCAGAAGCGGGTTATCTGACACCGTCTTTCCTCCCTTGGCCCAGGTCTCCAGGAACGCCCTCAATGCATGCATCGCATTCATGGAATGGGAGGATGTTCCCAGCAACTTGTTCAACCATCAAATGTACAGCAGCCCCCATAGCATGTACAAGGACATCTGCGCCGTCATTGTAAGCGTGAGCCAAGCTGGCTTGTTTTGGTTCCAGATTGCTGTATGCTAACCATTTAATTTAATTTTATTTTTCTCCCACCTTTGTTTATAAATAATTCAAGGCGGTGGACTTCCCTAATACTTTTTCTTCTCCTCCAATTTCCTTCACGACAATCCTGTGAGGTGGGTTGCACTGAAAGAGAGGGGCTGCACCAAAGTCACCCAGCTGGCTGTGATGACTAAGACGGGACTAGAACTCTCCATCTCCTGGCGATTGGCCCAAAGTCACCCATCCAGCCTTCATGCCTAAGGCGGGACTAAAACTCCCAAAGTCACACAGATGGCTATGATGACTGAGGCAAGGCTAGAACTCTCTATTTCCTAGTGGACGGGTGTCAAACTCAATTTCATTGAGGGCTGCATCAGGGTTGTGGTTGACCTCAGGCACGGCCAACTGGGTGGGTGTGGCTGAATGGGTGGGCGTGGCCAGCTCGACTCCACTCCCCAAACCGCGTGCATGTTTCCTCTTTGCGTTGGGTAGATGGGTCGATGCCTGGCTGGCCCTCTTTCCTGTTATCATTGGGTAGACTGGGCTGGAAGGTAGGCTGCCCTGATCCAGGGGTGTGAAATATAAGCCCCAAGGGCCAAATGGGACCCACAAGGTGCTCAGATCCGTCCCGCGGAGTCCTCCTGGTCTCCCCAATACGAAGACAAAAGATTGGCATGGTCTACCACAACGTATTTATCATAGTCTTTAATAACATAAATGTGTTTGTGTATATACTATACTATATAACGTAATAATGTTATATTGTATTGCATTGCATTGTACTGTACTGTAGAATAGGATAGTACATTCCATTATAGTAAAATAATATCACTTAGTATAATAAAATATAGTATAGTATTGTTAGGAATATAAGTCACCTAATAGTTGGGTTCGAAAATATACAAACCAGGATAGACATTTTAATACTGTCTCTTTAAGAGAATGCTAAAATTGTAATTGGGCGTGGTTCCTCAAACGGCCGTAAGATGGAGCCAGAAACCTGGGCTGTTCCAGTTGCTAGCTGTCTTGTTCCGTCCTGTTGCTGAGAGTGTGTTCCTGCATTGCCCTATTGACTGTTACTGATCATCGTTCTTCTTGGGTTTGATGTAAGTCTGTTACTGAACTGTTTTGGATACTGGACTTTGTAATTTGAATTATCCCTGGACCGAAAACTGACTGCTTTAACTGTGAATGACTTGGACTGCTTGCTTGGACTTTGCTTAAACGTTTATTGGAAGTAAAAACCTACATTTTACTATACAGTGTATCTGTGTGCTGGTTGTGTGTTATTCTTCACCACTCTCACTACGTCTCCCTGTGTGCGCTCATTCTCCTAACGGGGAATTACCTCAACAAGTATAATCATATTATAGTTTAGTATCGTACAGCATGATATAATACAATACAGTAAAACATAATATGCCATGGAAGACGTGGTTGTTGAGGGCATGAGGACTAGAAGCCTGACCAAGGAAGTGGCCCCTTTGTGAAAACAAAGAAAGCTATAAGAGTTCATTGGCTTCTTTCTTGCCTTCTTTTCCCCAGATGAATAAATGCAAGCAAAATATCTCCAAAATGTTGGATCAAATGCTGGATTTCCTGGGGAACAGAAAGGCTCTGTATCGAAAGGCAGCTGCCCAATTAATTGGTAAGCACAAATACAACACCTGGAAGAAGGGGACCCTAAGGCCATGCATGCTGACACCTCTCTCTCTCTCTCACACACACACACACACACACACACCCTGCAGAATTAAGGAATATTGCACCAGACTGGAAGCTGCTGTTGCACCGCGTGGCTTCTTCATAACCGCTACGGTTTTCTGAGTTTTCAGAAGCCTCCTTCCTCGCTATGACTTCCACTTCCGGTCTCCTTCCCAGCCCCCATTGCCCCCATTGTTCAAAAAAGGGATGAATTGTTAAGAGGTCAAACGCCCTCTTCAAGCAGGGGACCCTATACCATTGCAGACAAGAGGCCGTCCAATCTCTTCTTAAAAGCCTCCAGTGAGGAACACCCCAGAGTTAGCCTGACAGAGACTTAGAATAACTTTATTGTCACTTTAAATGCGCACTCATCGGCATACATTAAAATGAAATTTCATTGCATGCAGCCCTCAAAAACCCCCGGAAGCAAAAGCCGTTGGCGCTGATCGACTGTCCTCACCGTTAGAAAATTTCTCCTCCGTTCCAGGTTGCTTCTTTCCTTAATTAGTTTCCATCCATCGATTCTTGCCCTGCCTTCTGCTGCTCTGGAAAAGAGGGTGACCCCACCCCATCTTCCTCAAGTACAAATTACAAAGCTAATAACCATCATTGCTTGTAGAAAGAGGCGTAGGATCAAAATCAGGCAAGGGGACGTATAACTCCCGCTTCATAAAGTCTTAATAAAGCCGCACCTGGAATGCTGCATCCAGTTTTGGATTACAAAAAAGACTTTGATTAAAAAAAAAAGGGCAAAGAAGGGCAAACCGGATTAATTAAAGGCCTAAACCGTATGAAGAATGGTTGGAGGAATTGGGTATGGCCGGTCTAGAGAAAAGAAGGACCAGACATGAGAGCAGTCTCCCAGTAGTTGAGGAGCTGCCACAAAGAAGAGGAAGGGGTCAACCAATTTTCCAAAGCACCAGAAGGCAGGAAAAGAAAAAATGGATGGAAACTAACCAAGGAGAGAAGCCATTTGGAATGAGGAACAATTCACCCGTGGAACAGTTTGCCTCCAGAAGTTATGGCTGCTACATCACTGCAGGCTTTTAAGAAATGACTGGACGGCTATTTGTCTGAAATGCTAGTATAGGGTCTTCTGTTTCAGCGAGGGGTTGGTCCTTCCAGTTCTATTCTGATGGGTTGGTTGAAATATTGGAAGACTGCTATCATGTCACCCCTAGTCCTTCTTTCCATTAGACCACTAGACATACCCAATTCCTGCAACCATCCCGTAAAGCCCCAAACGACTCTTCCGGGTATTTTTGCATTTTTTTAGGATTTATTTGATTTGTCAATCACTTACAAGATACAGGTATAAGAATAAACATAGTTTTGAATACATGGGATAGATACTTATAAGAAATTTTTTTAAAAAACCAATAGAACAGGGACGGTAGGCATGATTGGTGCACTTATGCACGGCCCCTACAGACCTCTTAGGAAAGGGGTGAGGTCAATAGTAGACCGTCTAAGGTTAAAGTTTTTGGGGTTTGGGAAAGAAACCACAGAGTCAGGTGGAGTATTCCAGACATTCACCACTCTGTTGCTGAAGTTGTATTTCCTGCAGTCAAATTTGGTGTGGTTAACCTTGAGCTTGTATCTATTGTGTGCTCTTGTGTTGTTATGGTTGAAGCTGAAGTATTCATTGACAGGTAGGACAATGCAATGTATGATTTTATATACTATACTTAGGTCGGACCGAAGGCGGCGTAGTTCTAAGTTTTCTAGGTCTAGAGTTTCAAGTCTGGTGGCATAAGGTATTCTGCAACGAGGAGAGGAGAGGAGAACTCTTTTTGTGAAATATTTCTGGACTTTCTCAACTGTATTAATATCAGATACATAATGTGGGTTCCAGACTAATGAGCTGTATTCAAGTATTGGTCTAGCAAATGATTTGTATGCTCCAGTTAGTAGTGTAATATTACCAGAGAAAAAGCTACGTAAGATTAGGTTAACAACTCTTAACGCCTTTTTGGCTATGTAGTTACAGTGGGCTCTAGCACTTTGATCATTAGAGATGAGTACTATTTAGCTTGTATTTTATTTTCTGATTTTTTTTTGGCCAATATGTAAGACAGAGCATTTATTGTTGAGATTTGAAGTTGCCATTTGTTTGACCATTCTGATACATAGTCAGTCTTTTTGGAGGGTAGTAGTATTGTCTGTGGTGTAGAACAGCTTTACATCATCAGTGAAGAGAATGCAGTTGCTCTTGATATGATCACAGAGGTCGTTTATGTAGAGTTTGAAGAGAGTTGGTCCTAAAACACTGCCTTGGGGGACACCACTGTTGACAGGTACAGAATTTGATAGGACGCTCCTAATTTTGACCATTTGTTGCCTGTTTGACAGGAATGCCTCTATCCAGTTATGCAGGTGTCCAAAGATACCATAAGATTTTAGTTTTAGGATTAGTTTGTCGTGTACCACTGAATCAAAAGCTTTACAGAAGTCTATGTAGATTGCGTCTATTGCTTTGCCCTGATCAATTTGTGTAGTCCATTATTTTTGCAGTGTAAGAGTTGCAGATTGCATGATAGTTTTTTTCTGAAACCAAATTGTTTATTAGAGAGTAGGTTGTTTGTCTCTAAGTGGAGGATAATGGATTGGTTAATAATTGATTCCATGACTTTACAGGTGACGCAGCATAAGGAGATTGGTCTGTAATTTTCAACTAGGCTGGGGTCTCCCTTTTTGAAGATGGGGATGATCGTGGCTTGAGACCATCGTTTTGGCAAGGAGCTGGTCCTGAAAGATTTTTCAAAGATTATGCTTAGAGGTTTGGCTATGGCAGTGGGTAGCTTTTCTAAGAAGTAAGCACATATTCCCTCCGGTCCAATAGATAGGGATGGTTCTAGATTGTGCAGTGCTTTTTCAACAATGTCTTCTGTAAAATCAATATGTATTAGATCATTGAAGTTGTCTTTAATTTGACTAGGAAGTACTGGGCTTGATCCCTTGCTGTTTACAAATACTGAGCCAAAGAATGTGTTAAAGAGGTTGGCTTTGATGGTGTCATCGTTGCAGTCTTTACCATTAGGTCCTTTCAGGGGTGGGATGGACCTTGAGTCTTTTAGTTTGTTGTTTACAAAATTGTAGAAGGCGCGGGTGGAATTGGTGCATAGAAGGTTTTCCTCTTGTTTAATGTGATAATTGGTGCATTCAGTCTTTATCCGGTGGCATAAATTTTTGTATTGGCTTTTGAAGTTGGCAATGTGACCAGATTTGTTTTTCCACCAAAGTGAACTCTTTTGGGATTGAAGGTTCCTTATTGTTATGGGTAATCTTTTTTTTCTGGTTTTTGGTGTTGTTATTGGTACATATAGTTTGATGACTCTTTTGACTTCCAGTAAAAATATGTTGTAATGGTCTTCTACAGTATTGCATCCAGTGAATAGAAATTGCCAATCAAGGGATGAGAGATCGTTGTTTATAAGATCATAGTTGCCTTTTTTGAAGTTATAATTGGGGATCACATCGTTGTGTTGATTTTTGTGTGGACGTATGTTGAGACCAAAGTCAATCATGCTGTGGTCACTGTTGGAAAAGGGTTCTTTAATTTGTATTCTGTAAATTTAATTCAAACTATTGCAGAAGATGAGATCGAGGCAGTTGTTAAGCCTAGTATTGTTGGTTACTACTTGTTCCAGTCCCAGATTTGTTACAGCATCGTAGAAGTTTGCGTGTATGGGTTCAGTTTTACATTCGTTTAGGGTCCAGTTAATCTGAGGTAGATTGAAGTCACCAAGAAAGATAAAAGCGTGTGGACAGGATGTTGCCCATGTTAGTAGTGAATTTAGTTTGTTTACATGTTTGATGTCATAATCAGGGGCTCTGTAACATAGTAAGAACCGAAATGTGATATTTAAGGTCAGTTCACAGATAATGGTCTCAGGAAGAGCAAGCTCTTGGGTAACTTGGATGTTTTTTAGATGTAAGGACTTTTTATAGAAGATCGCAACAGCACCTCCTCTACGGATTTCACGATCTGATCGGTAAACAAGATAGTCTCTTACTGAGGTAATGGAGCCAGGGAGAGATGCGTTGAGCCATGTTTCACAGACAGATATGATGTCGAAACAAATGAATGGTGATTTTTTTTTCTTTAATCAAAGCAGTCGATTTAGCCATCTCTGCTAATTCCATCAACATTTTCTATTTATCTGTCTAGCCTGCTGTGCGCTGTATTTAACACCAGATGTTGTCCCCTCCAGACAGCTTGAAGGAGTTTACCTTGGTGAGTTTAAAAGTTTGCTAGCTTGAAGCCAGAGGGCTTTTTCTGCAGAAGCCCTGTTGCTGACAAGGGTCAGTCCTCCAGGTCGTTCCTGGAAATAATTTGATTTTTGGATTCGTTTCAGCTCTCCGGGATCTGGAAGGTGACTGTGAACCCTCAGTGGCTCGGGTGGCAGCTGCATCATTAGAAGAACTATTTCGACAGTGTGGCCACAGGATAAACCCCGATCTAGTTAGTAGCCAACTCCTCGCCAAAGTCATTGGAAGCATCTCTATACAGCCCTCTGAGGCCCAGCAATAAATCATTTAAGAGTTTAATGGTTTACTTTATTGTCATTGTACCTCGTACGATGAAATTAAATGCCATCTTTGGTGTATATATATATGTGTGTGTGTGTGCGTGTGTGTGTGTGTGTGTGTGTTACAGCATAACTCTGGAACGCCTTGGCTGCTGAAATGTAAAGGAATGAATATATATATATTCTGAGGTTCTTGCGGGTATTTGTGGATCTTTGGTTATTCGGGTTTTCTCCCACGTAAGATTGGAAGATTGGAATCTAGGCAATGTTTCGATGAAGTCTCATTCATCATCTTCAGGCTTGTGTCTTCAGCTCTGTGCTTCTCAGAGTGCTTCACTCTGTGCTTCACTCT